TTGTAAAATTGTACAATCGTACAATTGTACAATTGTAAAAATAAGACACAATCTAAAATGATTAGTCATACTAATGCGAATGTAGAATTGACTGATCTTAGAATCAAATTATGATTAAGAAGGAAAGAAAGAGTACTTTGTCATCGTCATCTTTTTGACGTTTTTCCGAGGCTTTAATATCACGTAATTCGTTGCATCGTTCTGTCATAAGACTCGTTTTCTGTAAGGCACGAACTGATTCATTGACGCATAAATGTTGTCTCGATCCCAGCGTTACTACTCTTGGTTGAAATCTGGGAAAGAATTACTAACAATATTCGAACGTTGTTGTACAAAAAGTATCTATTTCTCCAGTAATTTTTTTTGAAGTGGAACAGATCATGCTCTCCGAAACTGTGAAAACTGTGTTGGTGAAATGACTAAATGTGCAATACGAATACAATATAAGCATTTAAAAAAGAAATAAGTAAAACTAGATAACCGTGTTTTCATGATTTCTTCGGCAAACTGTAACAATTGAGAATGTGTTCGTGTAGCATAAATTATTTTTGTACAGGTCGGAGTCGGCTCTTCCGGAACTTTACTTGCAAGCTGATCATTTGTAAAATCTTCATCCAGTATCTAAAAAACAACATTATTGAGTTACCAAGCCTCCTCGTCATGCGGTATATTCCATCTTCTAGGATTAGTGATAGGATTATATGAATTCATTGATAGGAGAGTGGAGCCGTCAAACACGGCTTCACTGTCCTATCAATGAATTCATATAATCTTATCAATCAAATCTGGATGATCTTCAATTTTAAGCTGACAATTTTCCTCGAAGAATTTCACAAACTGCCCATAAGTAATTCGATGCCTGGGGAGAGCACTGATTTCAACATTTTCCAGAAAACAAATTAATATGACCTACATCGTCTGTTTCGTCATCGTTTTTTCCCTCAACATCCTTATCACCCAGTAATTTCCGTTTTCGTTCAACCTTCAAGTTTCCCAGTGCTTTTTGAATACGCTCATTTATTTTCTTATCATTTTCAAGCTCATTGAAAAGTTCCTTCGCATCCTCGACAGCTTTAACCTTCGTAATATGGGCGTTCAACCAGTCATCTTCATCTACAATTCATACTATTAAGCTGCATCTAATCATCGCGCTGATTTTGTTTATTGTAAACTATCCCTGACCTTACACAGATCCAAAACAATACATGCCACACATAAATTATCTCAAGCTTATTTCTGTTTATCATTTGACAAAAGATGATCATTACCAATCAAAATAAATTTTTCTGGTAGAAAAGCAAGCGCAATGAAACGATAAGAATAAAAGATGTAGGGTTAGTAATGCTAAAAACACCATAGGAATACAAGTGAAGATACTATTTAATTCTTCCCAGCAATATATAAAACTCTGCAAATCAAAAGATTATTTTTTTTTTGTCATCCTCAATAGGAAAAATTCCATTCCTGAAATAACTAAGAAATCGAACTGTGAGAGATAAAAATCATCCAGAAACATGGTATATAGCGAGAAACTCTACGTAAATTAAGAAGATAATGTTGTATGCTGACCAAAGAAATATGCATACATCTCACAACTTATGGCTAGCATTATAACAAGTTACTTATCAAGTGATTACTAATATCCCAAAATCAAAATAAATCAATCATAATTTATTACGGCAACATGCCTTTTCCAGTTTCCTGAACTGCTTTCAGCTGCTTCTCGAGATTTGCTTTCCTTTCCGTTTCAAATGTTTCTAGCCAACTAAGCGTTGCACATATGATGCTCATAGATTTTCCGGTACCTGTCGGTGATTCTAATATTCCAATTTTTCCTTCATTAATACACGAAATAATAGTTCGCATTAATGAGACCTGGATATCATATGGTTCGAATGGAAATAAAAATTCTGCCATGTCTGTAATGAAAATCTCTTTAAAGATGATGTCACTCTGTTCAATAAGTAATATACAATCTGATCCAAAAAAAAAAAACCTAATTCAAGTACCAATAGAGCAAACACATACCATTCATCCATAAATTAAATATGTAGCATCAATGAAACACGATAGATTCGATTATGATATAGAAAATGTACAAGCAAACTTGAAGTAGAAAATCAATGTGATAAAATTTCATATGCATATAGATTATATGTATACAAATTTTTTGCAGCATAAATTAAAATAAACATTAGAAAATTTTAATTTGATTTGAAATTTCAGAACTTAAAATGGTAATATAAGAGTGACGAAAAGAAATTATCGGAACATTTTTTAAACATCAAATATATGTCTTATAGGTTCACTAATATTAACTATAATTTATTCCTTATTTTTAAAACTTTCATACCACTAAATATGTAATAATATACGTATTTACTCTTTAAACCAAGAATAAAAATCACATTTTGAAAGGTAAAAATGTAAAGTTAAAACATCGCTGTTTGCAATACACAAATCAAAGTTAGCACGGGAAGTTCATTTTCATTAAACTTAAAAAAAAAAAAAAAAAACTTAAATTTGAATTCCAAAGAATTCAGATACTATTCGATCTCAGGCTTAGGCTTAGGCCCAAGTTTGAGTCTTGGATCTGGACCCAAT